TCCGTTCCTCACACCACCGACACCCAAGTTCATTCTCTTCACCGACGGTGCGCCGACCTCCATGCAGTCATGACAGGACGACCAGTCGAACAGGCCTACAGGCTTGTGCTCAGGGTAGAGAACTGTGAACATTTCGAGCACGTCTGACATGTGGTCCAGCATCCTGAGCCCGATCCAGTATCCCTCCTTGTTCTTGCCGTACTCGAAGAGGTGGTAGGACCAGTACTGTCCATGCTCGTCTTCATGAAGCATGTCGATGGGGCGGAACTTCTCCACCTTCACGTTTTCCCCCCGTCGCTTCGCGGCAGCTGAGGCGGCGCATCGTTTCCTGCGGTTGCGCTCCGCGTCCTGGATCTGTGCCCGCGACGCCGAGAAGAAGCCAACGTTGTGGATTATCGTCCCCGACACCATGATCCCCTGGCCTTGTGATTTCTTCACGGGCACATGCTGGCCGTCCCGATACCACGCGCGCCTCTGGTCGTCGTTGGCTGCAAATACAAACAAGAAACCGACAATTTAGGGGCGGCAGATGTGGCGCTGTCAACATGTGTGATTAAATTTAAAGTCCCACAATTGAATTGCGAGCAAGATTACTGTTCGCGCCCGGAATTTACACCTAAATTATCGAACCCGCTTTGCTCCGTTTAAAACTAACCTCGAAATATGCTCTCGTCCTGGTAGAGAAGCATGGCCCGCCTCCCGTCAGGGTAGGTTTTCTTGCTCTGCACTCTGGCTTGCAGGTCTTCGGGCAAGTCTGCCAGCGCAGACTCGAGATCATCGACACAAACCCAGACACCACCATCCGGCAAGCGCTCGGTCTCCTCCACCGTCTCGACGTCAACACCCCAGACGATCGCTTCATCCTTGCCCATCGGAATCCATACCTCCATGTAGTCGCGGGTGTCGAACAGCGCCGGGAGGAACTCGTCGTGCCGGTATTCAAGGGTCTTCTTGTCGTCGTGGCCATCGAAGTACAGCCCCTTTTTGCCGTCGTGGTATTCGCATCCCATCTTCTTCAGCCACTCCGTTGCCGTAGAAAGGGAGATTTGGCGCTTTGGCGGCTCGTTCTCCTTCACTTCCACCAGCTTTACTCTCAATCCATGGAAAGCGTTGATGCCGTCCTTTTCCTGCTCCTCCAGCATCGGCATGATGGTGCTGTTCACCCACTTGCGGAAATCCTCCGCCGTTTTATTGGCTTGCCCACTGAGTATCCCGCAGTTCTCGAGCACCCAGCCTTTCGCGAGCTTGAAGACGCCTTCGTCGAGCTCCAGCAAAAACCTGCGCTTGAAGCGACCTGTGTCAGGTTTTTTTATGCGTCCGTGGGCGATGAAATCCCGCTCCCACTGCTGTACTGTTTGAACGGTTCTCCGTCCAACCTCTGCTGCGATGGCCAGTGCATCCTTCCGGTCGAAGCCGTCGGCCTGCTGGGTGTACAACTGGATCAATGTCATGGCCACTTGCACCGTGTGCGCCAGCTGAAAGTTGGACAAACAGCTGTCTTCCGTACTTGTATCCTGCGCGAAGGGGGAGTGTCGAGGGTGGCAATAAACCTTTAACTTTCAGTGGCCAATTTGTTTGACAGCAGTATTTCAAGTGTAATTTTTCAAGGTTGAGTGCAGGCAAATTAATTTGCAGAGCGGGTGCGAAGTACGTGCAGGTTGGTCAAACTCCGACGGCGGAGGTTGCAGATTGGTGCCGCCCGAGAAACCCCGCCACGATAAATTAATAATAATGTCGTGAGATGAATTTACAGCAGTGTAGATTATTACAGACCTCAGAGCCCCCAGGTTCGAGCACGGCATGCGTGAAGAAAAAAGAGGATCACACTTAATTTAGACTGTGTAGACTACTGCCCTCACATCGTTCATCTCCGCGGCTGCGCTGATCGTCTTCGCCACATCACTCACAACGCCGTCGAGGAGCTCGATGCTCTCAGCGCGAAACTCGTCCGCCGCTGCCGCCAGCACCCGAGCTTTCATCTCCGCCCCTTTCGCACGCCTAATCGTCTTTGTAGCTTGAGATGTGCTGTACGTGCCCTTGTTCAGGTATCTCCTCTTCGCCTCTTCGGCCCACTCGGGTTCGAACTCTATCCACGCCCGCACGACTTCTTCCAGACTGCTTGCAGAGAGGTTGAATGCCCCAGGAACGGCCTCCTCTAGTTCCTGCCGAAGTGTCAACGCACGCATCCGCCGGGCCGCCCTCCCCAACTTTCCAAGGGGCCGCCCACTGCTGTAGTCCCGTTGTCCACCCCAATTTGGATCTCGCGATCTTTGCGCGCCTGCGAGACCGGGTTCTTGTAGTGAACCAACGGCTGGCGCTGCGGCTCGAACTGCGGGTGCTGTTGAATCCCGCGGTGGTGCTCTCTGCACCGGGGCGTACGCTGAGTTCTTGAGTTGAACGGCATCCCAGTCAGCAGCAGTCACCTCGTCTATGATGATTCCCTCCACAACGGCGTCGCGGCCGCGTGGCTTCCCAGACGTGATCCAGCGGCTCCGCCATTTCAACTCAGTATTGTTGGTTCGCGACCTTGAGTGCAGCACTAACCGATACTTTCGTGGCTTCTGTCTCTCGATGCTGAGCTTGTCGCGCAGCGTGTATCCGTCGGGAACCAACTGCTGCAGGCAGGAGACCCTCTCTTGGTCGAGTTCCATTTGGTTGCCGGTCTTCACAACAACATGTGTACACCTACCGGCGGCTGTGTGCGACGCGGGCCAAGCGGTGGTTCGGCCGCGATTTTTTTGAAATTTGAAACTTGGTTTATTTCTTTATTTCTGTCTAGGGCCTGGCAAAAATGAGTTCTGAACCAGGTGATTTAGAACCAGCTTGTTTCAAGGATTCCAAAAAAATACAGAATATAGATATTTTTTCACAGCGGTGGATGCCGGTGGTGGGGGCACGACAAATCGTAATTTACCGGTTCCGCCGCGTTTTTGGTGAAACGGTATATTCGGCATAACTCGTCACCAAGGTGTCTGTGAAAGCTAAAAAAAGTGGGTTCATTCGAAAGCCCTGGTTCATAGCTTTCGGTATATTTTGTTAGGTAAATAACCAGGCCCTAGAGAGAAATTTATCAAGTGGCCTGTGGGCGGGTCCAGGAAAACTAGGAAAACTACCACTTTAACAATTGAAGACATATATCCCCGCCTGTAAGCCGATGAACCGCTTGGGGCAGCGCTGATTACAGGGATTACAACCCTGGGGAAAACCACAGAGTCAGACAGCCTAACAACAGCTGTTCGGACCGGTTGTACTTTTGTTAGATATACAACATATTATATCCACTGAGCTAAACAGTCAGCGCTGGCTGACTGTTTAGCTCAGTGGAGTCAGCCAGCGCTGACTGTTTAGCTCAGTGGACAATATGTTGTATATCTGACAATCACTAGACACTATACATCCATCAAATCGGCGCTGTCGTGGCCGTCGGAGAGCGCATCACCAGCGCGTGACGGAAGATCATGTTCCTGCGCCGGCTTCGGTTTCTTCGGAACCGCCCGGCCATCGGCTCCGCGCTTGCCGATTTTCTTCTTAGGCCGTGCAATGGTGCTTGCTTGCGTGCGTGCGTGCGTGTGTGTCTCGTGTTGTTCGGGCCGCCACGTGTGCCTGTTTGTTGCGGGAGCGTCTTGCCCAACAGCAAAAATATCTCCGATAGTACGGCACGACAAAATGTGGAATATCTCGAGAACCAGAGTTCTTTCGGGAAAAACAAAAAATACCCATCTTCTAGTGACTGATGAGAGAATCGTTTGCCGCTGTTTATTTTGGAATCGGTTGGTCAGTTGTAAACGAAACAACTTGATTTGACCCTCTAGATCCAGTTTTTCTTGGATATCTCCTTCAATTCCAAGAGTTAGAAAAAATCAAAAAATAAAATCCGTTGAGTTTTGTGAATCGGCAAAATATTACACCCCCTGTAAACGAAACAAGTATTATTTCCGGTTTATCGGAAGTAAATAGTCGAGGAAAAGAAAAGAAAAAAAACTCTCCGTCACGCCCAGCGCCTGTAAACAGGGCGTTTGCCGGTACCTTCAGATTGTCGATCAACCACCTGTATGTACTGTGTGCAGAGAAAAGTTGCACTTTGTGCATGGGAAATTATTGGACAAATTGTTGTGCACGGACCGTACCTCAGAAAACTTTCACTTGATGTCTCATGCTCAACATGAATATTATGTAGGACTTATTTCTACTGTCATTTACATCGTAAAAATATCTCCTCTTCAATTTGAAATAAAACCAATGACAATCCTCATGGTATCCTACATGCGTTCGTAAGCTTGCTAAAATGCTAAATACTGCGTTGATGTCCTCTAGTAAAAGCTGAAATCCAACAAATGCTTTGATCCATGCTACATCTCCGTGTTGGAAAAGCCCTTTCTTCTCCGTTCATGATAACATCTTACTACCCTATTCTAAGCAAATCTGTCACATCTACTCTCGACGCCAAGTTCAAACGAAAACGCGTTCTGCGATGCGTCTACACTCCATGCCCAANCAATGACAATCCTCATGGTATCCTACATGCGTTCGTAAGCTTGCTAAAATGCTAAATACTGCGTTGATGTCCTCTAGTAAAAGCTGAAATCCAACAAATGCTTTGATCCATGCTACATCTCCGTGTTGGAAAAGCCCTTTCTTCTCCGTTCATGATAACATCTTACTACCCTATTCTAAGCAAATCTGTCACATCTACTCTCGACGCCAAGTTCAAACGAAAACGCGTTCTGCGATGCGTCTACACTCCATGCCCAAATCATTGGCGTTGACTGGTTCGAGGTCGATCTTGTTCGCCTGTTTTCGGCGTCTTGACGCCCGCGCAATGCGAGCTTGTACCTCTGCACTCGCCGAGATATGGCCACCTGTGTAGCCACCGAAACGATCTGAAGAAGTCGTTCCTTGAAGACTTCAACTATTATTGTTTTGAAAAGCTGAGCAACTATTTGATAGCAGCAATCAACTACTTTCCAGAAATGTTGAGCAAATATTTGATTGCAGTCAATTACTGTTGTTTCGAAATGCTGCGCAAATATTTGATTGCAGTCAACTACTGTTTTGAAGAGCTGCGCAAATATTTGGTTCCAGTCAACTACTGTTTTGAAAAGCTGCGCAAATATTTGGTTCCTGTCAAATGCTACCTTGCAAAGCTGCGCAAATATTTGGTTCGGAGCTAGTACTCCCGGAGGCAGCTCTCTGTCAACTGTTCATGTTTGTCCTGACAACTAATTTGAACATTTTGTGCTTGAAAGTGAGGGGGGGGGGGATCGGAGGGAGCCCAGCCTGATGTCATTGGAAGGAAGATTGAGATTGGTTCCGGGAACGTGCATCCTCGAATCAATAGTGCGTGCATGTATCTGAGCCATCATCATCGAAACGTGATCCAACAAGATGAAGTCAATCGAAGCGACAAAAAACACAACTGAGTTTTCCCCGACTATAGATTTATATTACATCACGTCCATCATCATCGTTTACGCGAGTTGAAGCCACCCAGAACGAAGAAGAATAACTTGCAATAGACCAACCGAACTCCATCCCGATACAGTCGAGGGACCCTTTTAGTGCCGGTTGAATAGTGCCAGATGCCCGGTATAGTGCCGGTAAAATCTCTGCACACAGGCGGAGCTCTCAATAGTGCCAGACCGGCACTAATTAAAGCATGCCCGATATAGTGCCGGTTCGGCACTGCTGTCACCCCCAATAGTGCCGGTACTCCGCACGCGCGAAACACACACACGCACAACCCAGGGCAGAAAACATAGACTCCACACACAGAAATAGGGTACACGTGCTGCTGCAGACCCGAACAGCTCTACACAGGGGCGTACCATGCCCTGTGCGGAAGGTGAACTGTGCCAACTACAGGACACCACGCCGCAAGACCCTCATGGTCACGGCTGCCAGGGAGGATGTGGCGGGCGACTGCACGGCATTTGCGGCAGTGTGGTTGATGTAGGCAACGAGAATCACCGCATCTGCAGCGCGTGCGTCGCCAAAGCCGGCAAGCGCAAAGTGTCAGCAGCAGACAGCACTGGGAAGGCACAATCTAAACGTCCGAAGGCCACGAATGGGGGGAGTAACAAGTCTCAGCCTCGTGCGCGGCCAGATTTCAGCGCCAAGTGTGAGATGCTGAAGCTGATGGATCAGAAGGTGACTCATGAGCAGCTAGCAGATCGCTTCAAGTGCTCGGAACGGTTGGTCCGGGATGTGAAGAAGAACAGGAAGAAGTACGAGACCGAGGCTGCTGCAGGACGCGGAGGAAGCAAGAAAAACGTGCGCACAGGCAATAATCCGGAGGTGCGCTACAA